TTCGATCAATTCGAAAACTGGTCTTCTTCTAATCCGAAACTCATCATCGGCTACATGTCGGAGTTTGCATAAGGCCCATCTGCACCACGTTCCTTATGAGTTTTTGAAGTTGAGCTTTTTTGTAGTGCACAAATTGCAAAAAATCAATCGACTTATTTTCATCCATTGGATGGTTCTCGCCAATCAGGCATGTCTCAAGAACACCAAAAAAAGTAGACTCATTTTTCTGAAGACTTGTGCCGTTGATTTTATCTCCATCAGCAGCATGCGCATCACCGAGATCAGCATCAACAGCGTCATTTATAGAAGCTAAGTCCGCAGAGGCAGTTCTCATAACAGGTACACCATGAATTGCTAGTAATTGAGATGATATTTTTTTGGCGAAAGCCCAAATGAAAATAGTCACAAACATCTCCTAGTTGACCATGAGTGTAAAGAATATGTTTTTTTTTAAAATTTGAGAGCATTTGAGCCGTGAATGAACACTCATTGCATCTATAAACAAAAAGACCTTTTTCAACAAAGTTTTTGTCGCGCTCCTGGCGACTTCTATTGCCCTTATTTGCATATGTCAGTGTCAAAATTTGCGCTTGAACATTTTTTGATTTTTGTTAAGCAAGTGATTATTAGAAAGAACTAAAGTCAAGTGATCTCAAAATAAAATCGTATACAACAGAAGATAGAAAAACATAACTTTTCGTCTACCAATTGCAGAGAACACAGTTTGTGTTTTGCGCGCGCAAATTTTAATTTGGATTAGCTTTTCCGTCAAAATTTGAAATACATTAAATTTCCACTTATTGTACATGCTGAAATACTAATGGTTGACATGGCTTGATAATTATAAAATTTTCAGACAGTTATACAAAAGATGTTAAAATTCAATATAAAAAAAAATGAGTGGGTCAGAGTTCAAAGCCGTTTTTTTACTTTGAGCTTCATATTTCAAAACGTACGTCACGAATTACAGAATATTTCGAAAATACAAATCTATACTGCTCCTGTCTTAATACATGTACTGAGCATGTGGTTTTAAATGCAATGTCTAAACAAGCTGATACTATGTTTAAACACCTATTTTTGAATTGAAAAGTCAATAGACCTATTCAAATTTAGATAGATTCATTAAGCCAATCAATTGTTGTTTGTCATCATATTTTCTTAAGCTTCAACAATCACTAATTTAGTTACTGGGTATAATGGAGGGTTTTAAAAATGCCGGGCTTAAGCAAACTGTGCGACTAGAACCTATAATTTAGGAAATATCATCATAATTATTTTAAAATAGCAAACCTGGTTTTGTTGTTTTAAGAAGCAGTAATGGTAATAGTGTTTTCCTCCAAAAAAATAGCGTAGTCTTGTAAATTTTGAAAAGACAAAAAACGTGAAGGATCTTGCCTATAGATGTTAAACCTACTACTTTTTTTCACTAAAAACATCCAATTTTCTTAAGTAATAAAATTTTTTTTTAGAAAAGATGTTTTTTTGGGCTTGAAGTGTTGATCTCCACAAAAAATAGCGTTACAGGTTCTGAACCCTTGCTAAAATTGCGTAGCTTAGTGGGAGCACAAAATTTACAAGTACTACAGTTTGTAGCTGATTGTTCCGAGTTGAGACCTGTCTCGTTTTTAAGTGGAATAAGTATGGTTGTCACTTGGTTTAATTTACATATTAAAAAACACCAAAAATGTTTTCCTAAGTTGGTCAGTTATTTCCGCTTAAATAGTTTTTGACGGGAAAAATTTAGCTGCTAGAATAAGCAATTGAGCGAGAAAAAACCTTTAAAGTAACAGTCTCCTCCAGCATTTAAGACAGATGTCCTACTTGCTGAGGGGGAAGAGCTCGAACCCCTGACATTTTAAGACAATTGTCTTAATTGCTGGGCCCCCTCAGCAACTAGGACAACTGTATTGAACGGGAGGGGGTTAACCAATAAAGGAATTCCCTCATCAGCGAAAAGTGGAGTAATATAAGGGGTACTTCAGATCACTTTTGTTGAAAAATTGAGATGTTTAAAATGTCTCATTTGCTGATAGATTTTATCTTTTTCTCCTTCAACTTATAGTGAAGTTTGTTCAAAGTTAAAGATGATAGGTTCATTACGCGAAACATAAATCATGAAAAATGGGTCCGATACATGTTGCAACAAATAAGAAAATGCTTGTGGAATCCAGTGACAGTAAGAAAAATTAGCTTCGGAATCCATTGAAAAACAGTGGAATCCAGTCACAAAAAGATTAATTTAACCGAGGAATCCACTGACAATTGGTGGAATCCAGCGAAATTTATTGAAATCCACTTCAACGGCCAAAAGAAATTTGTCTGTTGAATCTACTGACAAAAAAATAGCCTGTCGGCATTTTGTGTAGAAATCAATTGATTGTGGAATTCACTAACAAAATATCTAAAACACGCAAAAGATGTGTCAGAGGAATCCAGACACGTGAAGGCACAAATATGTGCTGAGTTATTAAACCGAACTTGGTGTCATTATATAGTCGCTCTAAAGGAATTGTTTTTGGCTTGTTCATTTTTAAAAATTCTTTTTAATGACTCTCTGTGGTCGGAGCATTGTGTTCTATTTGTGTTTCAACGGAACATACTTTTATCAAAAAAAATTTAGAAGAACTTAGTGACAAGGACCCAATGACAAATTTTTTCAAAAAAAAACATTTCATTAAAAAACCAAATCACTTCAATGTGGGAATCAGCGCCGACTAGTCGTTTGTGTTAGTATCTTTTCATCTAGAAATTCAACAAGGAATAAAACTATGAAATTACGCAAAAAATCTTGAGATAAATTGAAAAATCGTGGTAAATAAATTGATCATCCAAATCATAGCTTGGCGTTTTGATTTTTTGTTAAGACTTTTTGCCATCCATTTTGATTATTTGTTTGTTGAAAAGCTTTTTTTCAAAAAAGTTTTTGAATGAATTTTTAGGCCCATTTTTGTTTCTTTCTGCTAAACCTTAAACTTTTCAAATGGTGAAACCGACAACAAACATCAGAAATATAAAACGTGACAACTTGTAACGGCACTTCCACGACTGAAGATGCTACCTCCGGCAACAAATTCGATAGCAGATTACACTGGCGTGGACGTGAACGAACTTTGGATCTGTTGATGCATTCAAAATTATTCAACTTGCTCACAATTTCGGTCGTAGCAAGACTACGCGGCAACAAAAGTGAAATAAATATTTATTTTCAACTTAAAACACCGAAAATGGTCACAATCAAAATCGTCTATCCATGAAGGCAGAACAAAAATTAAAGAACTTCAAAGGTATTAATTTCCTGTCGAGACCATTGAAATTCAACATTACAAACAGATTTGCTTTTTTAAATAAGGATACTACAATTTTCTGGATTGAATTAAACTAAAAGCCGGATTGAAAAAGTTGACCTTGATTCTGCGCGATTTTTTTCCGAAAGTAATTGTAGAAATGTAGACTTTTGCCCTCTTCTGTGTTGAGGAGGATGAATTTGAATATCAAAACGAAAAGTTAGCAAAATTTTGAGCCCAGACTTTCAAATCGGTTGCAATCTGTTCGAATTTTCACATCTGACCCATATCATTGTGAAAAAGAATAAAACTTTCGCCGTCGTTAGTTGCTGCCAAATGGGCTGCCAATTATTGATTATCGCTTCAATCATGTATGATACTAGATAGAAACAAAAATAAACACGTTTAAAAATGAGTATACAATCAATTCAAATCTTGAATCCAGCAGCTGATTTGTAAAAACTTTTGCACCCCTGTCAATTTAATCTGAAGGTAAGAAAAACTTTGAAAGATTTAAACCATAATTACTTCACCGGTGTTTCACATTGTTTGTTTGGGCCACTCAATCTATAGATAAAATCAACAAAATTTTAATGAATGCGACGATAAATTCGTTAGGTAAAAAAAACAATTCTCTCTACTCTTTATTAGTAATTCAATCGAGAGAGCATCAAAAAGTAGTCCTGCCTGTAGAGCAATGTATCTGATTTCATTTTCCAATTTTTTAAAGTTTTTTTAAAGTTTTTTTCAATATCTTTGTTTTCAAAGAACTTAGCTTTTCAAGAAACATCACGGAGGTCGTTACTATCCAGTATATACAAATCTCGAAATTGTGCTGAAAGTCTTTGTGCAATTCCATCAAATTTACAAAAAAAAAAGATAAACGGATTGTCGAAGCCTGTTGATTAGCGTTCTTATTCTGTTTGCTTTCATTTTTAGGTTCAGCAACTGATAGTTTCTGTGTTTTGATTTTTGTACTCATATTAAATTTTGTATTATTGATTTCTTCAATTAATACGGTTCTGTTCAGTTTTTCAGCTGATTGCGTTTTCCTCACAACTTTACTGAGAAGTTTGATCAATTTAAAACATATTACTTCTTGACTGAGTCAAATTCATGTCGAGTTCGTTTCTAACGCACGTTTTTTTCTTTTCAAAACAAATCTATAGTTTTCAGATCAGTTTTTGTACAGGCGCTATAGATTAAAACTCCAAGCGGTATTACTGGCTCAATATACACTATGTATAGACGCAAAATTGTTCTGAGAAACATTTTAAATTGATACATCTAACCTGCTATTTGCTTAGGTTCTGCATCTTGCTTAAATAATTGGGGTGTGATGGTTAATTTTTGTATCCAACAAAACGCCAAAATACATGATTTTTTTCTTTTTTTCAAGTTTTCGAACTCTGAATGAATAGCTCACATCGCTCTTTGCCTGTAAAATTTTACATATTTTTTACCTTTAAGGTTTCCTTTAAGGTCATCATTTTCATCAAAACAATTACACAGTTTTTAATTTTTTTTTCTTCATCTGCTCATTGAAAGAGTTACTTGACCATTCAAAAATAAATCGTCGGCAAACATTAAAAGTTTACCTTGTGCCAGTGTTGGGGTGTTATTAACATCAGTGTTATTTACACTGTTATTAACACATGTTATTAACGTTATTTACACAGCCGTGTTATTAAGTGTGATTTACTTCAGTTTGAAATGCCTGGATCGAACGCTGGTGGAAGGCCCGTGGACGCTATTTGGGAGCATTTTGAACGACTTCCGAGCAACAAGTCCAAATGCAGGGTCTGTGGGCATGAAGCGGCCGCAAATCCTGAGAGGATGAAGAAGCATCATGCCAAACACGCGGATTCTGAGAATCGACCACCGCCCGCAAAGCAGCCCCGAATCACCGATTTTACCGTTTCGACGTCCAAAGACGATAAAAACAAGTTTGATATTTTAGTTGGGCGGTTCTTTTTCGAGAACAATATCGCATTCAACATTGTGGAATCTACAAGCTTTAAAGAGTTATGCCATGCATTACATCCAGGGTATAAGCCACCGAATCGGAAAATTCTTGGCAATGAAATCCTCGACACCGTGCACACACAGTTGGAAAGCAAGTGTTCAAAGAAACTGATTGGGAAGGAGGTTACTCTTTGTATTGACGGATGGTCGAACACCTGCAACGATCCTATTGTGGCAGCTTCGATCCAGCATGAAGGAGACGCTTATATCATTGGATCTCTGGATACATCTGGTGAGCCACATACAGGTGAATATTTGGCGGAAGTGACGATCGATTTCATCAAAAAAGCGGAAGATGCTGAAAAATATGGCGCTAAAGTTATTGCTGTCGTCACGGACAATGCCGAAAACATGAACCTAATGCGTAAAACAATTGAGGAGAAAAAAGCCGTGATAACATACGGCTGTGGAGCGCATCAGATGAACTTACTTGCCGGAGACTTGGTACCAACGTCAATACTCCATAAAGTAACCGAGGTGGCTAAACTTTTCCGTAACTGCCATTTACCAAAGGCATGGCTGGAAGCCGAGGGTTGCCTAAAACCTCCTATGCCTTCGAGCGTCCGCTGGAACAGCCATCTCAGTGTTCTACTTTGGTACCAGTCATCGTGGACTAAAATAAAGTCAATTATACTCCGACATTCCGATTATTTCTCTTCAGGTGCCCCTAAAACGGTATCGCAACATATCAAAAGTTTGGCTCTGTTCCAGCAAGTAGAAGATTCTGTGAAATGTTTGAAACCGATAAAAGATGCTTTGAATTGCTTGCAATCTGACAACATTTGCGCCGCTGAAGCCGTGGAAGCATGGAAAGATATTTTGGATGGGTACCGAACTGAATCAGAGTATCGAAACTGGCTAGAGGCGGCTGAGAAAAGGTACAACAAATCGGTGCCGCCAGTTTGGTTTCTTGCCAATATTCTACATCCTCAGTATGCTGGGAGAAGATTGACTCCAAAAGAGCTCAAAGAAAAGTATACCTCTTTGTTGCCAGTCTATGTTGATTTCGTAGCGGAGGGTAAAACTGTCTTCATGGAAAACTGGGCTCCTGCATCTGGATGCAAAGTTGAAAACTTCATCAAGTTGAGCAGAGACGAGCAAGAAATTAGCCAAGGACTCGCTGAACTGATGATCACAATGCTTAAATTGATCCCAAGCACGGCTGGTTTGGAACGGGTTTTCTCAACAATGGGTTTTGTACACTCGGACTTACGTAATCGTCTTGGTTCTGAGAAGGTCACAAAACTTGCATTCTGTTTGCGTTCGCTGAAATCTCAAGACAATTGAATTTTTCGCGAATGAATTCTGTTTTTTGAGTAAATCACAGTTATTAACTGTTAAAAACGTTAATAACGTAAATTATTGATTATCGCTTCAATCATGTATGATACTAGATAGAAACAAAAATAAACACGTTTAAAAATGAGTATACAATCAATTCAAATCTTGAATCCAGCAGCTGATTTGTAAAAACTTTTGCACCCCTGTCAATTTAATCTGAAGGTAAGAAAAACTTTGAAAGATTTAAACCATAATTACTTCACCGGGTTTTCACATTGTTTGTTTGGGCCACTCAATCTATAGATAAAATCAACAAAATTTTAATGAATGCGACGATAAATTCGTTAGGTAAAAAAACAATTCTCTCTACTCTTTATTAGTAATTCAATCGAGAGAGCATCAAAAAGTAGTCCTGCCTGTAGAGCAATGTATCTGATTTCATTTTCCAATTTTTTAAAGTTTTTTAAAGTTTTTTTCAATATCTTTGTTTTCAAAGAACTTAGCTTTTCAAGAAACATCACGGAGGTCGTTACTATCCAGTATATACAAATCTCGAAATTGTGCTGAAAGTCTTTGTGCAATTCCATCAAATTTACAAAAAAAAAAGATAAACGGATTGTCGAAGCCTGTTGATTAGCGTTCTTATTCTGTTTGCTTTCATTTTTAGGTTCAGCAACTGATAGTTTCTGTGTTTTGATTTTTGTACTCATATTAAATTTTGTATTATTGATTTCTTCAATTAATACGGTTCTGTTCAGTTTTTCAGCTGATTGCGTTTTCCTCACAACTTTACTGAGAAGTTTGATCAATTTAAAACATATTACTTCTTGACTGAGTCAAATTCATGTCGAGTTCGTTTCTAACGCACGTTTTTTTCTTTTCAAAACAAATCTATAGTTTTCAGATCAGTTTTTGTACAGGCGCTATAGATTAAAACTCCAAGCGGTATTACTGGCTCAATATACACTTTGTATAGACGCAAAATTGTTCTGAGAAACATTTTAAATTGATACATCTAACCTGCTATTTGCTTAGGTTCTGCATCTTGCTTAAATAATTGGGGTGTGATGGTTAATTTTTGTATCCAACAAAACGCCAAAATACATGATTTTTTTCTTTTTTTCAAGTTTTCGAACTCTGAATGAATAGCTCACATCGCTCTTTGCCTGTAAAATTTTACATATTTTTTACCTTAAAGGTTTCCTTTAAGGTCATCATTTTCATCAAAACAATTACACAGTTTTTAATTTTTTTTCTTCATCTGCTCATTGAAAGAGTTACTTGACCATTCAAAAATAAATCGTCGGCAAACATTAAAAGTTTACCTTGTGCTGTTCATGATTATACGAAATGAATCAGAATGGTCCTGAAAACTGGTCCCTCTGCAACTCGGCAATTAACCAGTTTTGATTCGAACTAGTTACTCTCAATAATCACAAATTTTGGTTTTTTCAGTCAAATAGGATAATAAAACTTCTAACACATGTCCTCTGAGATCCTTAAAGCTTTTGTGAGGTCAATATAAACTCTAACAGATCCTCTTTTGGAGGCCATTAGTTCTCTTTTGATATCTACAACCTGCAATATTGCAACAATTAGAGTATCCAAAAACTTACTGAGGTTTCCAAATTAGTTTTTTGAAATTAGATGTAGTCATTTAGTCAGCACAGGTATTTTAGACAGGAACTATAGTCAGCACAGGTAGCAGAGAATTTTGTTTAGGAATGGTGCATTCATTTCTCCTCTAGCTTCGGAAAACGGTATAACTCTAGATTTTGTTCTTGATTTTGGGAAACATTGTGGAACCTGATCTAAACTATATTTTATGATTGGATAAATTGGATATTTTACCACTGTAAAGTATTTAATATTAACCAATCATAATCCATCTAACTAACAACCCACTTATTTGTAAGTGCTGAAATTACTTGTAATTTCAGCACCAGAGAGATTTGAATTTAACTTAGAAATTAGTTGTCTCTCCAAGAGAACTTCAGCAGCCGCAACAAACCAGTATACCCTAGATCTATTGAGCCTAGCAGAGACTAGTTAAACACCCTGAGACTAGAAAGTATAAGAGTAAGATTAGGATCGGTATTAGACTAAGAAGTTGCACGAATCTATCCGGCCGAAAATAAGATAGCGTGACGAGCAGACGGTGTACCCTATCCGAAATTACTCTATGAGTTAACCACATCGGTCCTAACTCATCTGGTGCGACCATAAGTCTCGAATAAGACCTTAATAGCTTAGAACTAACCAAAAACAGATTAGAATTTAGACAAAACATTTTCAAAATGTTATACGATAATAATTTAATCGAAATGTCTCTACGACTCAATAGATCAGAGCCGATATTCCGAACAATAATAGAGCTACCCGGAATTGAAAGAAGACCTCGAACAAGAGAAGACATACGACAAAGTAGAAACTTACCATATAGTTTTATGATCGTACGGCAAAAGCCAACACAAACTTTTATATTTAGAATCTTATTAGCAATGAATTTAGATTTTCATCTGCAAACATAAAATTTTGAAGTCAATCTTCATGATCATTTCAGGCGCTAAACAAAATTATTAATGTACAATAACGATTGATAAAAAGATCTCAGATCGTTTTCTTAATTTCTGCAGTCTTATATAAAACATATTTGAAAATATTTATTGAAAATGAAAAAAAAAATTAGTAGCATGACAATAAATTGTTAGTAATCATAAAATCATCTGTTGTCCTTTTTATTTTTAAATGATCTGATTATTTGACTTGTTGATTTCAGTTGATGTTTTTTCGAGAAATAACTAATTATTTTTTAATTTGTCTTTCGTTAGTTACGAATAGAACCATGGTCGTTTCAACTGGTTTCACTTACGAAGGATTCAGAGATCCGCTAGATCTCTTACCCCCAATGACCATTGCCAATGTCAGCCCGTTTTTTTTTTACTAAGTCGTCGGCATCAGTGTTAGTTGGCAGATTCGTCCTTTCTTCTCCTCTTCTCTATTGATTTCATCAAAAGAGTTGGTTTTTTTAAATGCTGCTCTCCAATTGTTTTTCAAGATGAAATCGTTTTGTTTTCTTGGTCGCATGCTTCAGTTTATTACGTATTTGTCTGTACAAATTTTTTTTTTTTTGCACGTTAAATTTTGTTGAAGAAATATCGTTTTGCAGCGTCATTTCTTTTTTTTTCGTTATTGTTCCAACCAATGAAAATGCGGTGGAACTTTGTATTCGAGTGTGTTTTAGGTTTTGTTTCCACGCAAAATCAAGTACCAAAAATAGTGATTGCAGTTGGTTTTTCTCTCTGACTGAAGATCTCTGATCCAATAGTTATTTGAAGAAGTTCGAGGTAAAATTGACAATAGAATGATTTGTTGAACCTGTTTGTTTCCAAAAGTAAATTGATGGTTGTTTCACTGCTATGAATTTGTCTAGTTGCATGATTTATATCAGAAAAATGTAGCTTTACGGGTGAAAATGAGTTTTGTTTTGTTGTTGTTATTTTTACATACATCTATGTTGAAATTGCTACATACAAAACCGCTAATGCGTTAACCTTGGAAGTTTGATCAGATGATTATGTCAAAGATCAAAAAAAAATTCGATTCCCAAAGTGGATTTTTGTAAATAACAATAGTCAGAAAAATATCACCATTCATATGAATTGAGATTTTTGAAGATTGAGCACGGTAGTCCTGTGATTCGATTATCCTTTCGTATTGCAAGCCTGAACGAAAAAACCAACAAATCCCCACGTTTTTCTTGTGATGCCATTTCGTTTTTCTGGAAACCTGTCAAATTATTTGAAACTTTCAACTTGTTTTCGTTTCGCCAGATTTCGTTACAGCAATGAGGATTTTTTTCTCACTCTGATTAACATGATTAACAACTCTAGATCTGAAAAAGATCTAGACATGTGAAGTGATCTGATGTTTTTAAAAAATTTTCTCATTAGAACGTGAAGAATATAACTGACTGGTCAATCTACAAATTTTTTATGATTTTAATAAGTGGTCTGGTTAAAATTGTTAAATTTTTGTTTACTAAAGCTGCATTTTTGTTGAAGAAACCAATTATAATTTTGTATATTGATACTTCTTGAATTTTTTGCAGCTTTGCTACTTAGTTGATATTTTTGCAATCGCAATCCTGACGAGATTGAAAAAACTGCAGGGTTTCTAACTTTTTTAGAAGAAAAAACTCACAGTGAGGTTTATTTGCTACAGTTATTGTAATAATCAGACCGGAAAAAATCCATGTTCATTAGTTTCGACTTTCCTAACGAACGTAACAAAATTTTTGTACTCGGGCTGGTTTTTTCTTCAGACAAATTTCGAATTTTCAATCAGCCATACTTGACAGAGTTCTTTAAATATAGTTCAAAAGGTATTGTTGCTTGAGCTTAAAATTAGCAAGATATTTAATCTGCATTCTTTTTTCGTAAAGTTATGGTGGCTTAAAGATTGCCTTTTATGCCAACTTGGCACAGTTAACTGGATATTTATTCCGTCCTAGAAATCGTTCCAAATTAGTTGAAGTAAACTTATTGGCCATAATTGATTTAACAATTAAATTCAAAATCTATCACTTTGTACTTTATATGGTATGTGCAGGGATTTTTTTTACAAAAAAATCTCAAAGTTAACAACAAATTCCGTTTTTTTTAATTGCTTTTATGTTTTTATGTTATAACTGCTCCATAGACCTTAAAAGGCAGAAAAAATATTCAGGGCTTCGCCGTGATAGAAGCAGTCTTAATACATCTGATGTTTGTAATTTTCAAAAATTTATAGTTTTTTCTGTCTTTTATTTACCAAAAACTATTCGATATCAATTAAAGGGCACTCAGAACGTTCGGGGCTTTGCCCTGATAGTTGACAAATCTTTGTTTTATTTTAAATTGTGTTATGCTACTAAATCTCGAACAATTTTTCATCTGCAGTTGATTTTTGCAATTGCAAGCTATGGACCTCCTTTTTTGACCAATTTGAGACAGTTATTGAAACAA